ATGTGGAATCATCCTTTATTAAAGACCGTATCGATTCTTATGCTAGATTATAGTAGAGAACAAATATGAACGCCATATTATGTGTCATTTAGAAATTATCACCAAAGTTGATTTTTCTTATGAAAAATATAAGGTCAATCGTGAAGGCCAAGGCATATGAAAGCCCTATCTCTTCTCAATCAAAAGTTAAAAGGAACAAAATGCGTTTGTGAAACACTGATGACCCCGTATGGCAACATAGCGAAGATTAAAGCTGACATGAACTCTTAAAAAGGCATCAGTTTTCATCTTTGTACGACTTACTACATTCCTGAACGCCCTCGTCCGACATATTTGTTCGATTCCGCCATATTTAAGCGAAGATTTTTGGCCACCTGTACCTGCTATATATAGCCCTGTAGAACTGTTTCACTTGAGTGATTTTCTAGTCTGGCTGTCGACATGTACACATCTCCGATAGCATAGTTTTTAGAAGTCCACAAACTGACCAATACATGTTTGAAAAGTAAAAATTCAACAAAAAATAGAGCTATACCGAGAATTAAATTATTTTGGAATGCATTTGCTGCAATATAAAAAGTACACTAACATGGAATACATTTATGTATAGCAAAAATCCATGTAGGTCGAGAAAACGCGTCAAACGCAGTGATAAAACATTTACCTGAATACTGCTATCGTTACAGGGGTGTGCACATGTCGAAAGAATTATCCTATTTTACTTTTATTGAAAAATGCATCTCAGAAGTCATGTAATCCATTGCTAACTCAATAGTAAAAGATGCTTGGACACACGTGGCCCATGCCGATCATTTTATTTGGTCAGGGAAAATATCAAAGGTTGAAAGCTCAGTGGGGTTGAAATTTTTTTTTCAAAAATAAGCATTACTCTTGTTTGTAAATGTAGTAAATAAAATTTATGATTACATGGTTTAACTTCAATAAATTTATAATAAAGCATGTATTATTACGAATCATTCACCTTTTGAAGATATTTTCCTGTGATAGGAGAGGGGGGGGGGGTAATAAAACATGCATATTAATACTCTCATAAAAGTAATTTAAGAAAAACGTCTGAAACAGATTAATTATTATCAAATAAATACTATGTATAGGCTTTATTAGAACTAATATAATTTGATACAAAGTTATTTATAATTTTATGCACAATGGAAGAAAAAAAGTGAGCAAGTTCCCATACCCCACGCTTCCCCAAAAGTCGAAGTGCTGAAATTCCCAGAAAAAAAATAAAGGAATCGTAATTTCCTTGTAAAATGCTCATCTATACACATTGTGTCCTAAATATCTGCAAAGTTTGACGAAATTGCGTGCAGCGGTTTATGAGGAATTGCGCTGACAAACTGTTCATCTCTATTTTCAAGATATGGCCAAAATCTAAATGTGAAAGTGCGGAAATTCCCGAAAAAATAAAGAATTCAGAATTTTCTGGTGATGTGCAAATCTACACACAGATTGTCTCCTATGAATATCTGCAAAATTGGACAAAACTCTGTGCAGAGGTGTATGAGAAGTTGCGCTGACCAAAAAAAGAAAAAAAAGACTGACTGACGGGTCAAAAACATTATACCTCACGCAACTTATTGCGAGGAGTATAATAAACGAGTTTGATTCTGTGGTGCAATGATAATGAAAATAGAATTTAATGTGAATTAAATTTCTAGACATAAATAATTATTAGAAAAAGCATATAGAGAGAGAGAGAGCAAACTCCCCATGAGAATTCCACATTCTACCTACAATTAACTTTTTTAAAAATTCTCTTGTCTGTTGTCCAGGTCCAGGTTCGACACGTACGTTTGAGAAGGTAATTGAGAAAGTACCCAATGTTCCCATTCCTGTGATGTATATTTCACGTTTATTATGTCCCCCGCTTGAAAAGTGGGAGGGTATATAGTAATCGTTATGTCCGTCCGTCTGTCCGTGCGTCTGTCTCTTACGCTTTGGGGTACCAATCTCTTATCCGCAAATCATCTTGTACCACTTAGTGAAATTTAATGAAACTTTCACAGAATCTAAGGTTTATTACATATTACTATTGTGCAACTCCTATTTAACTTTTCAGGGGTGTAGCAACAGAGGGGGGGGGGGGGGGGGGCGGCCAACTTTTTTTCCGCGACCTAACTTATACTATAGGAAATGTTAATTGAAGGTGTGCACGTGGTTTTGTTTTTTGTTTTTTTGCTTGTCAACTTTTTCAGGTAATTAAAAAAAATTCTCTGACTGGCCACCACTTTTAAATACGATGCTACGTGCCTGCTTTTTGATTCGACACATATTTTGGGTTTAGCGACAACAGCAAAATATGGACTGCCATTACATGTATAACCACATGGGAGGCGGGGTATCCTTTAGTGAGCTCATTGCTCACAATACCTCTAGTTTCTCTTTCAATTTGGGCGTTTGGGTTAATTTCTTGTCCAAATTAAAATTATTATTCAATTTATGAAGTTTCGACATCCCGTCTGAGAAAAATCCTTGATCAGATCTAAGGCTTAATAAATGGTACAGCATAAAGTGTGTGGGATTTTATACCTATTATTGCCCTAACGGATGGGAGAGGGAGAAAGAGAGTTCAATATACAAAAGAGTTAATAAAAATTATCCGTATTCAACCAGTGTCAAGTATCCCTACTCTAGCTCTTAAAATTATCTCTAAAATACTTCTAAAGAAATTATTCTTATACAAGAAACAAAAAATAGCTAGACTATCAGGCAGGGATACTGAAATCTCGAAAGACTCTCTGTAACAACATAAAACAGTAACAACATAAAACAGTTACATTTCTCAAAATGCACATACTTTGTGGTCGGAGTGACACATTAAAAAAAAATCTCAAAATTGAATTCAGCAGAAATGTCTGGTCTTCCAAGAATATTTAAATAACGGTCATGTCAATTATTTTTGCATGCCCCCCCCCCCCGCGCCTAAAAAAAAAATCAAATGCCTAAATGTCAATCTGAATAGGGGATGGCCTTTCTCCGTGTTTGTGTGTGTGTTAATGAACGTATAGATGTACACATAAAAATTTGTAGTGAATTGCTTTTAAGATTTGAAGTAAATAATTACCGTACCTCAAATTATTTGGTTTAGATTTGAGATTAGTACTAAAATAATCAGTTATAACTGACAAAAGAATTTTGCGACGCAAACCAACTGCAGACTATATACATGACTTTGTATGGAATGTATATTAAAAGTACATGTAGATAGACAATTCACAATTATAGCTTATGAACAGCAGTTATAATACTTTAAACCCCCCCCCCCCCTTTTCAGCAGCGCAAATCCCAAATAACTTCTCTTTCCACTTGTGATATTTTCCCTGATCAAAATGTGATCAGCACGGACTAAGTGTATCGACGTGCTAGTCTGTACGGAGTAATGTAGTGTGTTTACTATTGAGCTTTTATGGAGTGTATTTCTTTTTTGTGATGCATATTTCAATAAATGGGATTCAGGGTGTATATCACTTGACTTGTGCACATCTTCGAACCGATGCAGGAACCTTATTTCCAGGTATGGGTACGTTTACAGCGTTCGAGGTGTTTTCTCGTAAGCATCAATTGCATCTTTAGGACCTGCAAATCAAAGACGTCTAGGTTGTTTGTTCCATTCAAATGATATAATTTCAAAATGTGTTTGCAGATTTTACTGCTTTTTATTTCAAGCTTATTCTGCATAAATATGCGCACTGTAAAATACATACTCATGCATCTAAATGTCTCTTCCAAACTTGCATTTTTTCCTTTTGATTCAAATCAATAATTATTCAGAAATATGATTATTATGTTGCTTGTTGTGGTTTTGAAATGTCTTGATCACCTCATGTGTTCTCATATGCTTTACCATCGGAGATGTGCACAAGTCGATACCCAAGCCAAAAAATCATTCAAGTGTAACGACCGCATTGGGGTATATATCGTTACAATGAGACAATGTATCTGAAAGAAATATGGCGGAATACGGCTATAGTTGGTATGAAACAAGTCGTACATAGATGAAAATGTTGCGTTTTTAAGAATTCATGTCAGCTTTAATTAAACTTTCCTTAAACGCACACATCGTCGGAAACCCACGGTCGGTCTCGCTTCTCTTACCTTTTCCGACGATGAAACGCACATTGAATATATTGGTACCCAAATTTTAAAAAGTAGGTCAAACTCCAATGTCAAGGTAAAAGGGTCAAAGTTCTTGGTATCCAATGAAAGGTCTTCTCAAAAGGATTAATTATGTAAAGTATGAAAGCCCTACCCTTACCATTCAAAAGTTATGGCCAAAGTTAATGTTTTTAAAAAATAAGTCAAACTCCAAGTTCCAGGTCAAAGGGTGTAAGTGCTAGATATCCAATGAAAGGACTTGTCACGAGGATTTAATATTTGAAGTAGCCCCAGCCCTAACCCTTCAAAAGTTATGGCCAAGGTTAAAGTTTTTAAAAAATGGGCCAAACTCCAAGGTCAGAAAGTCAAAGTTCTTTGTATCCAATGAAAGTTCTTCTCACAAGGATTACATATGTGAAGTATGAAAGCCCTAGCCTTTACCATTTTAAAGTTATGGCCAAGGTTAAAGTTTTTTTTATAAGTACAAAATCTCCAAGGTCAAAAGGTCAAAGTTGTTGATATCCCATGAAAGGTCTTACTACAAAAAATACATATGTGAAATAAAAAAAAGCCCTAGTATCTACCTTTCAAAAGTTATAAAAGTAAAATCATTTTTGTGTAAAAGTGGGCCAAACTCCCAGGTCAAGGTCAAAAGGTCAAATTTGGTGGTACCCAAAGACAGGTCTTGTCACAAGGAATGCACATGTGAAAGTCATAGCTCCACTAAATCCACGAAAGCGGGGGGCAAAAAGTAATGCGGTGTTGTTTCCAACGGCTTAAACAACTGTTAAAGGTTCAAGATTAGAAGGGGAAAATTCAGCCTCTATAGCTAAGTTTGCATAGTTAGTGCTGGAAAAGCTGAAAGTTTTATGTATGTCTACCTGGTTTAAAGACGAAGCAAGGCACACTTTGGAACCTCACGGCGCTGGTGTTCTGCCCATCATATGTGACGTAAGCAGCCACCGGCCCACAAGGACATTGAATATTTATCTGAGTCTCTGGAACAGTGACGTTTTTTACGAGCCCCTTTTCTATGGCATAACGTCCTATTGCAATCACAGCATGCCCACACATTGTGGAGTATCCCTCGTTATGAATAAAGATTGAAGCAAAATCACACGTTTCTATATCCGAAGGCACGAGCAGCGCTCCATACATGTCATAGTGTCCCCGCGGTTCCCACATTAACAATTTCCGGTACTCGTCCAAGTCACTTTTGAGATAGTTAATTTTGTCCAGAAGTGTTCGACCTTTGATTTCTGGGTATCCTTTTTCTATGATCCTTAAAGGTTCTCCACCAGTGTGCATTTCGGTTGTGGATATCGACACAGGATAAACAAGAGGCATGGCGATTGTCCTGTCCTTTGTAAATGACCCAGAAAAGTATAAAGAAAAGTTTATCTTGCCTTTAAAAGAAGCTCCTCCCACTTAGTTTTAATTTCTATCCCGACTTTTTTATATTATATATTATATTCCCGCTTGAAATGTGAAAGGATATAGATAAGATAAGATTTATTAACACGATTTGGAGCCCATCAGGAGAACTAGAGGTATTGTGAGCAATTAATAATAACATACCCCTCCCCCCGCCTCCCATATGATTATAATGACAAAGTCCATGCTTTGTTCTGAGAGACCCGAGATAAGCGTCAGATAAAAAGGTAACGTAGAAGGTGCACAACGGCATTATGTGATAAAGAATCTGTGAAAGTATCGTGAAATTTTATTCAGTGGTAAAGGAGGAGTGCGGATAAGAAAAGGATAGTTCTCTGACAAGCAAATTCAAAGAATTGCGGTCCCCCGCTTTCGGTGTCTTTGTGGGTGAGATGTTATTTTTTATGACATATTGTGTCTAATATGAACACCCTATCATATGTCATTTATTTAGAAATTATCACTGAAGTTGATTTTTTTTAAAATAAGGTCAATTGTGAAGGTCAAGGTCAATGGGTAAGAAATCATAGCATGCTCGGAGTTATCTTGTCACAGGTAATGCACAAAGTCCTATGTCTTCTCAATATAAGGAACAAGATGTGTTTGTGAATTAAACACTGATGACCCCATGTGGCAACATAACGAAGATTAAACTTTTTCTTAACTACAAATTAAATACCGTATATGTTGAAATTTTAGCGAGACGCAAATTTAGCGATTTGTCTTTTAAATTGGTATTTTAATTTTAGCGAGAAGTTATTTTAGCGATAAAAAAAGCTCACTTAAGAAACCAATATAACGAAAGTGCAATTAATTTTTAGCGATATTTAACTTTAGTGATCTCACCACCCTCGTTACTAATGCCAAAATTAAATCCTCGCTAAAAATTCTGCTTATACGGTATATTATTACCCAAAGTAGGGTTTTTCTCACAAGAAATACGATTGTGAAATACAAAATCCCTACCACCACTTGTTCAAAAGTTATAGTCGAGGATAAATTTTTGAAAGGTAGGTCAAACTCCAAAGTGAAAGTTTTTTTTTAAAGTAGGTCAACTCCAAAGTCAAGGTCAAAGGGTTCGAGTTCTTGGTATCCAATGAAAGGTCTTCTCACAAGGATTACGTGTGTGAAGTATAAAAGCCCTAGCCCTTACCATTCAAAAGTTATGGTAAAGGTTAAACTTTTTTTCATAAGTACGTAAATCTCCAAGGATAAAAGGTCAAAGTTGTTGGTATCCAATAGAAGTCTTGCTACAAAGAATACATATGTGAAATATGAATGTCCTAGTATCTACCATTCAAAAGTTGTGGCCAAGGTCAATTTTTTTTAAAAAGAAGGTCAAACACCAAGGTCAAGGTCAAAAAAATCAAATTTCTTGGTATCCAATGAATGTTCTTCTCACAAGGATCACATATTTGAAGTACAAAAGCCCTAGCCCTTACCGTTCAAAAGTTAAGGCCAAGGTTAAAGTTAAAGTTTTTTTCATAAGTACGTAAATTTCCAAGGTCGAGGTCAAGAGGTCAAAGTTATTGGTATCCAAAGTCGGGCGACATATTGCGATTGTACACATGTTTTTGTTCTCGGAGATGGCTGGGACAATCTTCCTGAAACTTTCCTCCAAGGAAGATCACTGGTTGTAGTTGTGTTGTGTTGTCAATCAGTTTCAAAATGCTACCGTTGCCATGGAAATCTGCAAAAAGCGACGAATTTTGTCCCTTGAACATTCTTCATGAAATTTTATTAATGTAATGATAAGTATCTGTAATTGTGCTCATTGGATTTAAAAATTGCAAATTGTCAATAGTTTCCATGGAAACGGGGGAAAAGTGAAAATTCTTTAACTTTGATTTTTAAATCAAAGTACTGATAGTACTGATACGAGTTAATGGTTGTCCAAGCTTAGCTAATGGGTATTGTTTAAGTAATGAAAAAATGAAAGTCTTGTCCATTTCGGGGCGACATACACTGTTGCTTGCAATAGCAGACTTTCTAGTGTTGTTGTTGTTGTTTTTAAAATACAAGATATTTTTAATATGCATTGGATTTTTAAACTAAAAAATACACACACGATTTAGAAAGTAAATAATTCACGCGTAAACATTTAACAGCTCCCCTCAACATATTTACTTCAACAGTTTAATAATTATCTCACTTTTTATTTTTAAGTTTTCGAAGAATACGTTGTAATTATTTATTGTTTAATTTTATCTATGAGGTATTAAATTTGAAACTTT